CGTGGTGACTTTCCGGCGGCGTGGCGGCGGAGAAATGAAGGCAGGAGTAGGATGAGAGTGATCTATCTTGTCTCTTGATCATTTTAATTTTTGTGGGTTGAGAGAGAGAGAGACGGCTGGATGGTTTGGGTGAGGAAAGATTTAATTGAGGAGTGGGGTCCACTGAAAATTTAGTGTGTTATTAAATGTCTATTGTACCCTTACTGTATGTAGAAAAACTTATTATTTTTTTACTATTGGATGATGAGATCTAGTGGCTAAGATTTATTCTCATTTCTTTCCTGGAGAACCATTCTTACTGGAACCTAACCATATATATATATATATGGTCAAAATCTTTTTCACCTCATTATATATCTATTCTTTCTTTTACACACCACTCCGTCAAATAACGTTTTTTACACCCCAAAATTCACGAAATGCTATGCGATATTACACTCGTATGTCCAAATGAACCAGCGCATATCCAATCGGCCTCATAATTTATGACTAGGCGTAAATATTTCACACTTTTTTAATCGCATATTCACATCAAATACATAATTTACAAATGTGCGAACATCTTTCGCATTTTTAATAATCGCATATACAAATTGATTGCAGCATAATTTACGATGATTATGCGCCTTCTTTTCGCAGGGCTATATCAACCTTGCAAATTTATGACTGCGAAAATATTTCGCATCTAATTCGCATAGTTTGTTGAATACACATTTTCTGGTAATTGCATATCCAAATCAATCGCATAATTTACTAATATGCGAAACAATTTCGCATATATCCTAAGGATAATTGACAATTATGTGACATTTTTTTCGCTTGCATATTTAAGAATCGCATAACCAAATCGAATAAAACATATTTTTTTTTACGATTATGCGCCATTTTTCGCAGGGCCATATCGACCTGGCAATTTTACGGCTATTCGAAATTCGTTCGCACATCTTTCGCATAAGTTGCGCACCTCATTAATTGACTGCTTTTTCACAGGTGAGGATTTGGTCTCTGCATTTATCATGTAGGCAAAAAAACAGTGATCTCTAACAATTTAACGCCTGCACCATTCATCTACTGCATTTTTCTGTTTTTTTTTTTTTTAGTTCTTTTTGTTGTTCACTTA